TAATATTATATTATGTTATATTATTTTTATAGGATATAGATGGGATGTTTTCATTAATAATATGATAGTTATAATAAAAATTAGGATTTTATGATTTTAAATATATAATATTATAATTATAATGAGATATTATATTTTATAATATTATAGTTAAGTATTTATATAACTACAATATAAATTTATATTATAATAGATAATATACTATAATTAGAAATGATAATATAATGTATTATGTTATAATTATATAACTATAATTATAATTATATATATTATATCCTTATAATTTTATATATATAATATTAGTTATTAAATGATTATATTAATATATATGATATTATTTATATTAACATGAAGGGTAATTTTGTTAAAATGAAAATATTCATATCTCATTCTATTGTATTTGTAAAAGTAAAACTAAACAAATGAATCATCTTTCATTTCTATTCCATTACCATTCCTATTACCATTCCCCCATTGCAACCAAACGCACCCTAAGGGGGCGTTTGGTATGCGGGAATCAGTAGGAATCATATTCCTAGGAAAGTGATGGAGGGTAATATGATTCCTATGAATAATACATTATTGTGTTTGGTTCTATATGAGAATCTTTTTCAAATTCTCAGAAATATTACATTACTGTGTTTGGTTGTTCGTATGGAAGAAGATCCATAATAATAATATTAATAAAAAATAAAATAATATTATTAATAAAAATAAAATAAAAAATAATAACAATAAATATAATATAATATAATAATATTAATATTAATATATATAATAATAATAATAATAATAATAATAATTATTATTATTATTATAAGATTCCCATGATTTTGAGATTCCTGAGAATTTGAATAACACCATGTTGAGTGGTATTCAAATTACCTTAAAATGAGGGAAAGTGAATCCCATGGTAATCACTTTCCTGGGAATTTAAATATTATAATTTTTGTACCAAACATGATAATATTACAGATTTTCATTCTCATTCTTAAGATTACTGCATACCAAACGCCCCCTAAGGGTGTATTTGGTTGGGGGAATGGAAAGGAATGAAAAAGAATCAAAGTTCATTCTTATATTTGGTTGGATTTAGGAAAAGGAATGACCATTCAAAATGAAATGACTTTTTCATCAAATAGGTGAATCATTATTCCTTTCTCATACGAGAAGAATGTCCATTCCAAGCTCTTTTAATTTTCTTTTCCATCATTACCCTTAAATATTATAATCATAAATTAATATTTATAATATAACTAATATTATATTATAATGTAATTATATCTTATAAGAAAATAATTTTTCTTACACGCTATAATACTTCAATTCTATAGCGCTTTTTATAACTCTCTTGAAACGCTATGTTTTCTTAGGACCTATAATAGCGCCCGCTGTCCTAGCGCTCTAAAAAGCGCTATTGATAGTGATTAATAGCGTTTTTCGTCAGCTACAAAAGGCCTTTTGTGGTGTAGTGATTATGTTATATTATATTATATGATATAGATGTGATATTTTCATTAATAATATGATAGTTATAATAAAAATTAAGATTTTATTATTTTAAATATATAATATTATAATTATATTCAGATATTATATTTTATAATATTATAATTAAGTATTTTTATAATTACAATATAAATTTATATTATAATAGATAATAGATAATATACTATAATTAGAAATGATAATATACTATATTATATATTATATTCATATAATTTTACATCTATAATATTAGTTATTAAATGATTATGGCCCCATTTTTTTCGCTGATTCGAGTTTAGAATTTGAGTTTTGCTACAGTAAAAAGCTCTCAGAAACAGTCACATCTAACTCTTTTGCTACAGTAAAAAGCTCTCACACAACATTACATCTCAACTCGAATTAAAAACTCGAATTAGCGAACCGAACGGTATATGATAGTAGTTATATTAGCATGAAGGGTAATTTTATCAACATGAAAATATTAATATCTCATTTTATTGCATTTGTAAAAGTAGAACCAAACAAATGAATCATCTTTCCTTTCTATTCTATTCCATTACCATTCTCCCACTGCAACCAAACAAACTCTAAAAAGCCTATGTGATTCCTTTTTTCTTTACTCTATCTTTGTTCTTACTCGAAATCAGAATCTTAAATCTTGATATTGTTTTTTTTTTCTTTTTTGTTCTAAAAATACATTGCTCATGAAATACGTTGCTATATGTCTGAGATTCACCCTAAAAAAATGTATGAGATTCACTCTCATTTGTAGTTGCCTAGAGTTTATTTATTTATTTATTTTTTGTGTGTGTTCTGAAAATGCTCTGATATTGGGCTCTGAAAATGCAATAATGTTAGTTTAGAGTTGTAAGTTTAGGCCGACTAAAAAGGCCGACATGAGGCCCGCCACTATTAGCCTAGGCTTGGCCCGACCCTAATTTTTGGGCCGGGCCGGGCCGTGTCAAGGGTTCGAGCCTAAATGTTTGGCCCGGCCCAAACGCCCTCTTTTTAAATATATTTTTGTAATGCCTTACAAAATTTTGGGTCATGCCAAGATGGGCCGTCTCTTTCCCATTCAGGCCCGGCCCAACCCACCGTAAAATTTCCATTCGGTCTGTCAGACTTGAGCCAAGCCTAACCGGGTCGGCAACCCATGTTATTTTTAGATGAAAACAGTATTTGTAAATATTTAAATGAAAAAGAAGATAAATACCCCTTCAAGATGCACGAGTTTAGAATTTTCTCTCTTACTCTTGATTAATATATTTTTAATCAAACAATTGTATTAGTCAAAAGGATATTAATTAAGAGTAAAAAGTTAAAATTAAGAGTCGTGCAATTTTAAAGATAAGTTCAGTAATTCTCTCATATTTTTTATTTTTTAATTGGTATAATTTACCCTTCGGAATCATGAATCTGATTTGTTCTCCCAAATAGGGGAAAAAAATTATGCAATCATAACTTATTTGATTTACTCAACTTATTTTTCTGTAGATAACTCAACTTCTTGCTTAGTTTGGACGGTATAGATTTGAGACTTCATGTTGGACGATTTTGTTTTTATGTTGGGGCTTCATCGTTTTATTATACTTTATGTTGGACTATTGTTTGATGTTGGACTACTCAGCAACCTTGTACAGTGTACTCCATAATTTAGGATTTTTGTTATATGTTTGACTTCATTTTATTGTGCTTCATGTTGGATTATTGTGATTTCTGCTTGATGTGTTCGACTGCTTAGTATGTTTGAGCAATATTTGATTGATGTTGGAGTGCTCAGTATGTTTGAACTCCATTATTAACTATGTCCAAGGACCAAGAGATTGATGTTTTCTTATACGACCATTCACTATTTTATTTTAGAGGGTTTTTTTTTTGGGAGAAAGAGGGAAATATGCCAAGACTTGAGATGAATTAAAATTAATAGGCCAATAGTTTACATAAGTTAATAAATAGGCCAAATTACTGTTTTCGTCCATAACTTGTCTGGTTATGAACCATAACTTGATAATTTATTATCCATAGTTGTCCATAACTTGTCTGGTTATGAACCATAACTTGACAAGTTTGTTCATAATTTATCTGGTTATGAACCATAACTTGAAAAATTATGGCCTATTAATTTTTATAACTAAAAATTGGCCTATATACTTTCTTAAGCTTTTCATATTGGCCTATTTTCTACTATTTCTAGTTTTTTTTTTTTTTGGTTGCTATTTTTGTTAAGTAATTAGGCTCGTTATAATTAAGTATTCTAGAAGCCCAATTTAATGACCCAAAGCAGACTAACTCATCCAAGCCCAAACCCAATTTGGAGAGCCCTAATTTTTGTGACATTTGGGTCCAAAATTTTGCTGGAGGCTTTGGAACAGCCTAAAAAATAGCCCAAACTGTCCCAATCCAACCGTGCGTACAAAAGTTGAATCTAAATATTTTGAAAAAATTACCGATTCTATTCCCTTAATATCTGACTTACTAAAAGTACTATTTTTAAAAAACTCTACCCCATATTAGTTTTAGTCTAAAAGTAGAAATATATAGACTAATATTAATTTTTAAAAAAATTATTTTTAAATTTTTATGAGAAAAAACGCGTAAAGTTAGAAGAATTTATAGCGATAACAAAGAAATGTCTTATTCCTACTATTTAGACTACTCAGAGTATTATGTCATCGGTCATCTGCTACTTAAACACACATAACACCCTATTGATATCCTTTCACAAAAATACCCTTATAAAATTATGCCAAACCTGGAATATAAATAATCCTGATGTTTTCATGGAATGGGAATAAACCCAGCTATGCCATTTCATTGGTGACCAACTTTTCTATCCTTTCAATCAAATAAAAAAGAAGATATGGATAGCATCTAAAACACTATCATCATTCTAATAAACCTGTAATTAAAAACCAAATATAAAAAAAAAAAAAAAAAAGCATTGTAAATTCAAATTAGTCTTTATCATCACTTAGAAGTCCCGATATAATATACAACATTAATTCGACGCGCTTGATTTTTGGGGGGGCCAATTATCATAAGGCAGGAGTCTCACTGAGAAAAAAACAAAATAAAAACACCAAGGAAAGAAGAAAATCACATTAAAAATTTATGCCAAACCTGAAAACATTAACCATCTGGTGTGATTCATCACGAGGGACTAATTAAGATTCTCAGGCACATCATACGCATCTCTTTCCATCATATGTCATACAACAACTTCTCAAAAGCCTTCATGTGTTGAGGTTGAAGACCAATTGCCACTGACAAACTCCCATCGTTGGCCGGGCTTGGTAACATGAATGCTAGCCCCTCAAACATAATCCCACCCGGTCCCATGAAAATTGGCCTGCCCCAACCGAAATCAGCATCATGAATTGGCAGCCTAACCCAACTAGTAATCCCGAGATTAGGGCACCTAAATGTGTGGGCCCCGCGGACGAGGGCCGATAGACTAGGCTGAAGTTCTAGGTAATCAAGGGCTGATCTTAGATAATCGTTGTCCATTCGCGCCAGCGTGTCGTGGATACGACTCGCGGCATACCACGTCGGTTTTGATTGGATGTCGCCCGCCATAGCCATCGGCGTGGCCGTGAAAATCACATTGCCAAAGTAGCCGGGTGGGAGTGGGGGTTGCAGCCTAGACCTTCCGTCAGTGGCAATGTACAACTTGGTCTCTTGGTCTTCGGGGAGCTCGCGTGCCTTGCACGCGCATCTCCAAACGTGGCCCGACAACATCGCATAGGAGCTATAGTTGATTGTGTTGCCGTTTTCCTTGGATTTGGTTTTCAAGGTGTTGAGTTGTTCCCTTGTCATTTTGAACATACCAACCGCGGTCTCAGGACTAGATTGAGAGTCTTTGGTTGGCTGAGCGGTTTTCATGGCTGGGGCAGGCTTGTATTCTACGTGCTCGAAAGCGGGGCGAGGCGGATCACGGGCACGGAGCAATGTCCTGTCTATGAATGGTGGAATTGTAAGGTCAAGACCTCGAGCCATGTCGGACCATGTGTTGACAAAATGGAGACCGGAGAAACCGTCCGCGGAATGGTGTTGCACGCCAACACCAAGTGACACTCCACCGCATTTGAAGTAAGTAAGCTACAGAGATTACAATCCAAAAAAAATAAAATAAAATGACAAGCTAATTCAGCAACGAGGACATGAAATTACTACAAGCATGAACGAAATTTGGAGAATTTATTTTAGATATTAAAAAAGACCTTATAAATACTGCTCAATTTTGAATCATTGTATCATAATCAAATTCTATCAGTACACTTAATTATTTTGATATAGTTCTAATATAGTATAATGTTAAAAAAATGCAGTACTAGTAACACCTACCAAAATCTTGCATGGAAATTTAGTACTTAAGGTGTTTGCGGAGATAGAGCTACAGTTTGTTGAAATTATTTTTCTATCAATAAATAGTCTTTAGCTTATGGCAACCATAAATGTATTTTTTTTTCCCGGTCAAAAAGAAAAAGAGAGATCAACGAAGCAGAAATAAAGGAAAAGTTTACAAAATTAAGAAAAAGAAAGAGAAAAATAAAAGATGGAAGGAGAGGGAGAGGAAGCGTGAAGGCAAGGATTAAGGATAAATTGTAACTTTCCTAAAACAAGAGTTATAGTTTATAGAAAGAAAAGATTATGGTTTCTACCCAAAAAAAAAAAAAAAGATTGTTATCCTTTTCTTTGTTTGGTATCAGAAGGAAATTAAAAGCGAATAATTGACTGTTAACTATAAAATTACCATATTTTTCATGTTAAGGAAACTAGGACTAATTGACTTTAATTATAAATTAAACATACTATTTACGTTGTGGGTTTTCATTGTTTTTGGCTTACAATATTAATTATTTAATTAAAGTCTACAAATCGTTTTGTAGCATTTATGCTTACATTTCTTCATTCAAAAATTTCGATATTCATATTTATATTCACAGTTGAACTTTAAAACTTTATATGCTTTCCATAAAAAAAAAAAACTTTATATGCCTATAAATTTCAATATAAGCCCTTTATTTAGGGTGTGTACATAAAAAAGAACGGCTATTATTACATACAAAAACAAAAACATAAAAATAAGAAAATAGTTTCATTCAAGACATAAAATTAAAAGTTAAATATTTATGCATTTAAAAAAATTAAAAGTTAAATATGAAACAAAAACCTTTAATTGATTGAAACAACCGGAACTCTCTAGAAGATGGCCTTAACAATAAAAAAATAGAAATTGTTTTTTCTTATCATGAAAATAAAATTAAATAAGCAAGTAAGTGACTGACTTTTCCTCCACCCCAACCATCATCCATACAAAGCACACCCGCAAATCGTTTTTGTATATTTCGTCAAACACAAACGGGCGCATGACATTTTGGGTGTATTTAAAACTCGTTATAAAATGATTTTATTTTTTATATAAAAATAAAAATAAAAATATTTTCAGACAGAAATTATTTTTAAAAATATATTTGTTAATTTTATCAAAAAATTATTTTCAGTATAAAAACATCCATTAATGTCTCTTTCTGTACTCGAGAGAGGAAAAAACAGAAACAAAAAATGAAAAACAATTAAAAGTCAATTTTCATTTCTCTCTCATTTTACACTAAACTAAAAATTCATTTTTATTTCTATTTTTTTATCTTTAATTGTGTCAAACGTCGTTTCTCTCCCATTTTTATTTTTATTTTTTCAAAAAACGTGAAAAACAAAAACAAAACCAACTTCAAACACTACCCTAATGTTGTCCACTTTTTTTTTCAGACGACTAAAGAAATCACGGTTGCCTAAACTAGTTTGAAATAATCAGTCCTATTGAGAGAGAACTTTAAAGTCAAGGGATAAACGACCTCAATCACTTTCAAAGTTGAAACAATTAAACAATCACCACAAAAAATCACGAAGCAATCACAATTAGTCTTCTTCTTCTTCTTCTGTTTTTAATTAATTAGCATTGTTAGTCAAATTATGAATATTTCTTTAAAAAAAGAATATTATGTCACTGTAATCCCTAAATTTCTTTCTTAGGCCTCATTTGCTTCACAGATTCAGGTTTTTAATTTAAGTTGAGATGTGACATTTTTTGAGAGTTTTTAACTGTAGCAAAAAAAAAAAGAGACGTGACATTTTTTGAGCGCTTTTAACTGTAGAAACTTAAAACTGAAAACTCAAATCGGTAAAATGAGCGTGGCCTTAATAAGTCACCGCTTGAATTTTAAATTTTTTGACAATTTTAATTATTGACATTAAAAATTGATAAATAACTTAAGAAATTTTAAGAGATAACCACGTCTAAATCTTGTTGCAATGCAATATTTTTTATGAGTAATGATTCTTAACTCTTGTATATTAATTAATGTGGTATGTGAGTTGTAATCTTTTTATTAATAAATGTAATTTTTTATTATGAATTGATGTGATAATGTTTAAAACATTCACTAATATGAAAATAATAACTCGCATATCACATCAGTTGATACACAAAAATTAGGATTAGAGTTGGTGTCAGTTTTTTCTTAAAAACAAAGTTAAATTAAATGTAAAACATTCTAGTTTTAATAGGTTTTTAGCAACACTAAGATTAGATTTTGCATTTCATATAACTATTTAATTAAAAATTAGGGTAGTTAAAAAAATATACCTCTTAATTTTAACTACTTTGCAATTTATCTCTCTATTTTTTAGAAACTATAAAGATGTCTTTTGTGAATTTGAAAAAAAAATTAGGATTAATTTTTATAAAATCAAAATAAGTTTTATCAATAAGTTTTAAATCAAAAGTATATTTTATAAATTCTAAAAAACGTAGGATTAATTGAGAAAAACTAAAACTACAAAGATATATTTTTACAAATAAAATTTTAATTAGTAGACGGTTTGGTCATCGATAATTTAATGGAATTTTAGAAATCATTTATTAATTTTGAGTGTAGTTCTATAAACAGCGTTAATAACAATTCTTTTCTATTAACTTGCGCACACGAATAAGAAACACAGAAATGATCTAAATTTTTTATTTATTTTTTTAAAAAATAAGCACATGCACGATACTATATATATCGACACATACCTGTAAGATCAATAGAGAATAGGAAGAGATGCCGGCGGAGTAGTCGACGGAGGGAATGAGGCGGCGGAGCTCCGGCGTGGGGGCGAATTCGCCGAAATCATCAATAAGAGAGGTTGTCTCAGCCACGACGAAGAGGACTCCCTTGGCGTTGCAGTCGATCTCGATACGGCCGTCGTCGTCGCGGCGGAGCCGGCCGGCCATCGGGTAGAATGGGACGAGGGCGCGACTGAGGGCGGCCTTGACGACGGCGACGTCGAAGAAGTTGGCGGCGCCGGTGGGGCGGTAGAAGTAGACGCTGGGGGTGTGGACGCTGGGGACCACCAGATCAAGGCTCGAGTTCCAAAGCCGCCGACGTGGCGTCTCCTCCGCCGGCCTCACCAAAGTTGATTCCTTAACGTTGATGTCGATCATCATCTTGCTTCTGACGTGGGTCCTACCTGAACCCATAAGAGATGTTCGATAAGAATTAAGAACGAGCGAGAGATGACCAAACAAAATGAACAAATATGATCAAAATGTTAGTTTTGGTGGAAATTAGTTGGCTTGTTTTTTATAAGCTCACTTTCTAATTCGGAAACGCTTAATCCTAACAAAAACAAAGAAAAATACATTCTTCTTATATTTATTTTTTCCTTCTTTCTTGCCTAGAAATATTAGTCATATGGTTATGGAATTTTCATGAGTACGTAAAATGATCTTTTGTTAATAACACATAAAAAAATTTCTTCTTCTTTTTTGCTCAAAACAAAAGAAGGTTCCTAACCGTTGTTACAGAAAGTTACGTTCCCGCATTTTTGAAGACTTAAATTTAAATTCTTAAGAAACCAGATAACGAGTACAGAAATAACGGGAATCTTTACAAATCCAATGTATTAAAATCAACATTCTTAACTCTTAAAATAAAAATAATTTTCGGGAATACCGGAATTGTGTTCGTGAAAATAATGTTGGAAATTGGACAAGAATCCCAAAACTCATGAATACACAAAACGCTAATGAAGCATGTTGTGCACGTCTCGTACGTGGGAAATGATCACGGGAGTAATATATACAGGAAAAAAGAATTGAAAGAAGAAGAAGAAGAAGAATTACCAAAATGCAGAGGAAAATGGAGAAGAATAAACTTGGGATGGGAGAGAAGAGAATCTTTGTGGCTTTGGTTGGATTTGGAGTTGGTGAACTAGTGTGTTCAGTCGCGTCTTAAAGAAGAAAAAAAAAAAAAAGGGCCAGAAAATGCACTAGCCCACACACAACATTATTAGTTCAGGCACTCTTGTCACTCACCTACCCCCGCCAACCATAGCTCATCTCGCTCTTTGACCTATATTTCTACTTTTCTATTTTTTTATTATAAATATTTAGACCTCGCGAATTTAAGTTTTTAATTCGAGTTAAAATATGAGGGTCCGTTTAGTTCGCTGATTCGAGTTGAGATGTGACTTTATGTTAGAGCTTTTTACTGTAGTAAAAAAGTTAGATGTGACTGTTTCTGATAGCTTTTTACTGTAGCAAAACTCGAATCGGTGAAGTGAACGGGTCATATTATTTGAGAATTTTTAACTGTAATAAAAAAATTAAATGTGACATTTTTGAGAGTTTTTAACTTTAAAAATTTAAAATTAAAAACTCAAATTAATAAAATGAACGAGATATTAACTAACAAGTGGAAAGACAATTTTTCTTTCTATTAAAAAGGTAAATGAAAAAGCTTTTTATAAACTAGGTATCTTATTTTAAAAGAGCATAAAAGTTAAAAGCAAGTTTAAGGGTGTCTATTTAAACATACTAAAAACCAATATTTAAACTAAATAAGTTAAAAATAGTTTTTTTAACCTAATTAAATGAAATCTTCCATAATGTAATAATGCAAATTTATACTTATGGGGATTAATCTTATTTTTGAAGCGGAAAACATATTAATATCCATTCAGAAAGAAAAAGAGAAAAAATATTAGAATAAGGAAAATGAAAATGAAAGGGATTGAGAAAAAAAATACACAAGGGAAAGTTGGTGAGACGGTGACCTGACAAGGGGCACACCAACTCCTGAAACTTGATCAACGCTCTAAGGAATTTCACCCGCTTTTCTTCCTTTGTCTTTTATTTATTTATTTCAGTAGGCTTGGTTTTGGTGCTAAGCAGGTTATAATATATTTAGGATTTGTCTTTTGGTTTTTTATAAGAACCAATCTTGATAATAAAAACGTAACATTATCATGTATAATGATGAATATAAAAGGATTTTATATTAATTTATTATACATAAATTTTCTCTTTTATCCAACCTTTAAAAAGTCATTGTTATACCAAATAAATATAATTTTACATTTTTTTTTTCTACATATTATATGAAAAAGAAAAATCGACCTTAGTGATTGGGTTGGGCACAAAACCATGTTGAGTACTCATAGGGAAGCCATTAAGTGGTGCGATCATCAATACAAAATGTCATGTCCAACGAATAACATATAAGTTAAGACTCCGTTCATTTCACCGAATAACTATGTTTAGAATTTAAGTTTTACTACAATAAAAAGTTTTCAGAAACAATCATATTTAACTTTTTTGTTATAATAAAATATTCTTACATGAAGTCACATCTCAATTTTAATTAAAAATTTGAATCAACAAACTAAATAAACTTTAAATGTTAATAATCTTTTAAGGCTAGGAGTCTTTAGTACTACGATAAAGCTAAATATATATAGTAATAAAAAAATCCTTAGCACTCTCATTAGCCAAATAAAAAAAAATCCTTTTTATTCTAAGGTATTATTTATATTGTTATTGTATACTTTCTAAACATCAACTAAAAGAAAGAAGATTGCATATTACAAGATATGAAAAGCTTATAGACAATACTAAAAAATGATAATTTAAGGCCCCGTTCACTTCGCGGATTCGAGTTGAGATGTGAAATTTTCTGAGAGCTTTTCACTGTAGCAGAAAAAGTTAGGTGTGACATTTTCTGATAATTTTTTACTGTAAAAATCTAAAATTGAAAACTTAAATCGATGAAATGAACGAGGCCTAAAACTTATGGATATAAATTTGTTTCATTATCTAACCAAACAATTAAAGTAAAATAGTTGGTTGGTGTGGTGATGATGCCCACCACAACAGTGATGTGATTATGTGAATTAGGAAAGTTCTTAGTAAGAATCACTTCCCTCCTGGAGTTGGTGGACTGCCAAATGAACCTTGATTTTTAACGTTTGGTTGGGAAACAGTCATTATTTCTCCTGCGCGTACACGTGGAGGAGAATGATCTTTTTTATTAAAATATTGTTTATTTTATAAATTTAAGTTTTTAATTTAAATTAAAATGTAATATTTTTTTAAAAATTTTAACTATAATAAAAAAAATTAAATTTATTATTTTTTAAAAATTTAAAACTTTTAATAATTGAAATTTGAATTATTTAATGAATGAGACATAAAAGTTATAATGATAAAGGCCCTTCCTCATCATTCAAAAAAAAAAAAAAAAAAAGGTGCCTCCTTCATCATCAATAGCGTGATGTTCAGATGACGTGGACACAATTTAAAAAAACTCAAAAAATACCTCTTTATTGTTATAGTTTAAGTTTAGTACGAGGGAAGGTATAGATATAGAAATGACGATGAAGTGAATTATAATAATTATTTATGTTATTTAGTAAGAGAAAGTTAAAAAGAATGAATGATAGTAGTTTGTTTAATTATTATTTGTTAATAATTTTTTAGGGCATAAAAAAACTTTTTAATTAAATTTAAGTTAATTAGTTGGATCTTTTTATTAATATGAAAATATAAATTGGTGGCTTCTCCTCCATCCTCCTAAACAAAAGGTTCACCTTCTCCCTCCACCGCTTTTCCTTCACCGCTCTCCTCCTATCAAATATAATGTTAGTTAAAAACCACATTTCTCTCAATATTTTTTATAAATTCAAGAAATATTCTTAATGTTTTATAGAATTTCCAAAGTACCTCCTCAATTTTTCAAAAGAGTTAAAAACATGACTTAAATTGTTGGAAATATTATAAATGCCCTTAATACTCATACTTAAACATTATATTGAACACAATAAACTAAAAAAATTACATTCAAGGAAAAAAAACTAAAACTTCAAAAATGTTAACCACTTAAAATGGTTTTAGACTATTCTTCTAGTTTTCACGTCAAGTTTTCCATCGATAAAATTTGATCATTAAAAAAAGATCCAATCTTGTCTGTAAAATTTGATGCACCATCTAAACCGGACGAGAATGCTTAGATTTATATCTTAATTTTTAAAATGTTCAGACTTTAAAGTTTAATTTTTAAATAACTTAAAAAGGACCTAAAATTTTAAAAAGTAAAAAAAAAAAAAAAAAAAAAAAAAAAAAAAACTTTAAACAGTTGATTGGGCTACTCTCATTTAGGCCCAAAACTAAATCCAATTAGAAGGTAGGTCTAAACCGGGATTTAAACCAGATCATATAAATTGCAGCGGTCCAATTTGATGCGAAAAACTTGGCGGTTTGAGACTGAAACACGTACACCCATACTCATGGTAGAAGTCAATCTTTGCTTGATATTGTGGCATTTATCGGAAATTTAGAGCAATGCTCGTTCATTTAAAGAGGCATAAAGATTTATGCCATTCCTTAAGCATTATAAGATTTCTCTCATAATAGTTAACTTCTAAAGAACTTATTCTACCACAACAACAAACCTTAATCTCAATTTAATTAGGGTCGGCTATATGAATTTCACTTTTCCACACAGCTCTGTTTGAAATTAAATTTTCCTGAATGTCTAAATTTAGAATGTCTTTACTAACGATTTCGGTCTACGTAATTCTTGTTTTACCCCTCTTTCTCTTAGTATTAGTATAAGAATGTCCCGAAAGAAGTTGATTCTAAGAGAAAAAAATAAATAGTTAAGGATGGTGTGTTCTTCTAAATCCCCCCATTGATTTTGGGTCTAAGGCCCAAGCAGTACGGAAGAAGTGGAAAAGCCCAAATGTGGCCGCAAAACGAAATCGTGATGTACAGTGAATGGATTCCAGCCCATAAAAGAAAGTGGGCTTTAAGACGTACTACACGGTAGACAAAAACAAATTTGTCTGCCAGCTTTCAGACTCCAACGCAACTTCAGCATTCAACAAATCAACAAGTCTTGACTAGGCTTTTTTCCAAAATTACAAATATATATAAAAAAAAAAAATTACGAAAAAAGATTTGATTGGCTTCGTTGTAAATGCTCATAAAAAATAACATAGGTTGTTTATCAAATTTTTTGTATTAAATAATTAAGTAAGTTAGTTGTTATTTTTCAAGTAATGATTCTATTAATAAAACATAGTTGTTATTTTTCAATTAATGAATCTATTAATAAAACATATCTTTTTAATAAAAAAATCAATATATCATTTTGTCACATCATTTTACTATGAAAACTATGACACACAAGATACAACAGGCATTTTTAACATTACTACTCGCCAGGTGTAGCGGCAAAGATTATCTTGATGATGATGATATAGGAAAAGAGGAAAGAAATTTTGTGTCATCCTATTTTTTCTTCAAATAATTATCTTATCTTTGTTTTTGGATCCGATTTTTTTATTTATTTTACTTTTTAGAATACCCTTGAAAATATTTTCTTAAAAGGAGATTAGCAAAAGTTGCTCATTGCTATGGTATTCTAGACATTAGTTGATTAGTTGATTACATATTCTCATCATACATAAAACATCTATAAAAAAGTATTGTGTGTGCTCGGTTTCTTATTTATTTATTTTCTTCATCATATTCTCATCATAGATGCACTATTTTTCTAAGTGAAAACATGCATTTTTAAAAAAAAAATTAAATTTAGTGAAAAAGTATGGATTAATGTTTGTGTTGTGTTACTTGTGTATTCATAATATATATTTCCCATTTTCAAAAACAATTAGAGTTTATCAGGAAAAAAAAAAAAAAAAAAACAATTAGAGTTACTACTCAAAAAAGAAAAAAAAAAAGAGTAAGAAAAAACACTCAATTAAAGTAATTTTACATTGGATCACGTGCAAGGCACGTGGGCGCGCCCCGTTGGGTTTGCAGACTCGAAGAAAACAACCAATCACTACAAATTAAATCCAAAGCAAATGGATCAAAATCATCCTTCTTCCTCTTCGTCGTCATCATCAATTTAGAACTTTGGTTCGCTTTATCTGGAAATACACTCTACGGAAATCCAGCCACTGAATCTTAGTAGGTTTTCTTTTCTCTACTTTTTTAAATATTAATTGAATATATAGTGTGTATGTAGATATACATGTTCTTATATACAAATAATAGTTGGAATCTGTCGAAATCGATCGAAATCTGCGCCTTTAAAGTTAAATCTGCGCCATGAATTCTGTTTTTAGTTGTGATCGTGTTTCTTTTTCTTTTTGTCAACTGTTCTGTTTGAAAGCCGATGAAATTCAGGAAAGAAAACTTTTTTCCAATTAAGACCTTTCATTTTATCTACTTGTTTGAAGTTTATTTAGCTTCTTTTTTTCTTTTTTTTTTTGGAAAAGATTTAATTTTGGGGAAATTTTCCACTTTTTTTTTTTTTTTTTTTTTTTTTTTTTTTTTGGAAAAAATTTAATTTTGGGGAAATTTTCCCCTTTTTTTTTTTTTTTTTTTTTTTTTTTACGGGATGTTTTCTGGTATGGAATTTTGTAATCGATCTAGAAAGGAAGCTTTTAAAAAAAAAAAAAAAAATCAGTCATGGAAATTCTTATATGTAGATTTGAGTTGTTTAATGGAATTTCTTTTTGAATTTGTTGGCTTGATATTTTTGGCAGTAAGAAATGGGAATATATCTGAGCTCTCCGAGAACTGAAAAGGCCTCAGAAGATGGTGAGAATGAAAGACTTCGATATGGCTTGTCTTCTATGCAAGGATGGCGAGCCTCCATGGAAGATGCTGTGAGCTTTCTTAATACTTTTAGCTTAGGAGATGTTTACAGTTTACTTGTCATGAATATGAATATGAATATTAAAGAGAAAAGAAGGAAAAAAAAAAGGCAGTATTTCTATTATTTTTCACCGATTTATGTGTTTACTCATAAAATTAAAAATATTTATCGGTGGGACCTACATGGTGTAGGGATGAAGAAAGGAACGCCAATCCTAACTCACTCTTGATTTTGGTGGGACCTCACATTGTGTAGGGATGAAAATTGAAACAGAACACGAAACTATTTTTAGAGTATTTAATCAATAATTAGCAGTTTGCACAATAACATTATATTAAAATTCCTTTTCCTAAAGTTGGTAAATACTAGAAAAGAAATGGATTTTTTTTTTCTTTTTTAAAAAATCTACTTCTTAGCAAGTAAACACTAATAGGGGAATGAATGATTACATTTCTTATTTCTATTTTTCCTTTCGCCAAATCCTTTCCTTTCCCATTACAATTAACAAAACATACCCTTTGAATTCTTCTTGTTCGCAAATTTAAGTGTTCATGCTTAAATGTTTTCTTATAAATTTTTGTCAAACGTCATAGTGAGGTAGTTGCTAGTTGATACAATATTAGTTTATCATTTTTGGCTCGCCTCAGTACGGAGACACTCTGAATTTGAAGGAAATGGATGTACAAAGAAATTGGGAAGTGGAATTAAATTCATAAGTTGAAAAGAAAATCTTCTTGTAAATTAAGGAAGGTTAATTTGTTTTAGTAACCTCTGTTTTATGTTTTCAAAACTAAAAACCGTCCTTAGCTGAAATGCTGAAGAGCTAAAGTTTTTTGTGTATGATGTATATATTCTAGGATTTGAAATGTTTGCATATAATAGAGATTATTTGAACATGAATTTTTATGCAAGATAAGTTGGAGATTATATAGTGTGTTTTTGTTTATGTTATTCTTCGCTTTCGTTACAGCATGCTGCGTATCCAGATTTGGACAGTTCAACTTCATTTTTTGGTGTTTACGATGGTCATGGAGGTTCGCATTAATGTTACTATGTTTCTAATCCTATTATGTTCATATCTTATTTTGTTACCTGACTCTGCCGCCTCTTACCCCGTAATTTTAAGATTTGCAGGTAAAGCGGTTGCAAAGTTTTGTGCCAAGTACCTTCACCAACAGGTCCTCAAGCATGAAGCATTTGTAGTTGATTTAGGAACTTCTTTACAAAAATCTTTTCTCAGGTTAGACTACTGTCCTCGTATTAGAAACTTACCATTTCTCAGCTGATTTATGAAAGGCATTTTATTATTAAATATCAGCTCAATATCTTGGTTTTAATGCGTTAATGGATTGCAGAATGGATGAGATGATGCGTGGACAAAGGGGGTGGAGAGAATTGGCGATCTTGGGAGATAAAGTAGCCAGAGTTTCTGGTGTCTTAGAAGGCTTAATATGGTCTCCTAGAGGTAGTGAAGTTAAGAGAGGTGAATTCAGTGACCATGCTGATGAATGGTCTTCTGAAGAGGTAATTTCACAGCAGACATCATATTGACTGCTTCTAGAATGACACACTTTTTTTTTTTTTTCAATGCTATTATTCATCACCACATGCATAAAAATATAACAGCTACAAAATCACAGGCATATTGTCAAAAGCTGATTTACTTTACGCTTACAGCCATAGCTAAGCATCAAAGAAGTATTATGGATGCATATTTTGGAGCCACTGCAGCTTTGTCCAAGTTCTGGACTATACTTGTAACTAGTAATTAGTACTATTTTTCTTTATAATTCAAACTCTGGTGAAACGTCAAACTTTTTATATTTTCATACTAGGGGCCTCACTCTGATTTTGATGGGCCAAATTGTGGAAGCACAGCTTGTGTTGCAGTCATTCGAGGCAACCAAGTTGTTGTAGCAAATGCTGGGGATTCTCGTTGTGTGATATCTAGAAAGGGTCAGGTAACTTCTTCTCGTTATCCCATATTGAGGCCTGTACCTACTGCTTGAACTTGATATACAGAGTCATTTTGCAATTGTTCGTGTGGTTAACAAGTCTAAGATATATTCTCCAGGCAGCGGTTTATGATCTCAATTATTGGGTTGAACATATACAACAATGGATGTGTATTAGGTCATGTTTGGCTTGAGCACCGTTCCAAGTGTACAATCAGAGCTATTGCACTACAAAATATGTCATTAAATTACTAGTTCTACTTAAAAATTGGTATAGACTCGCATGTTAACTTTAGGGTTATGTAAATCTAGTCATATACCTACACCTCTCATTCATTATTCTCCCTCCTTGCTAGTTGTTACTGTTCGTCGTTGTAATAAGTCAATTTACGAGAGGAGTAGGGGGGAGGGGGCGTGTGGTTTGGGTTGATGTGTGTGCGCGCATCTGTCATGGTACATTACATCTATGATGAATCTAAGCTATTGTCTAGGAGAAGTTTGCATGCGCCTGTTTCATACGACGGTTTTATTTGCAGGCATATAATTTGTCTAAAGATCATAAGCCTGAGTTAGAGGTTGAGAAAGATAGGATTCTGAAAGCTGGTGGATTTATCCAAGTCGGACGGATCAATGGGACTTTGAACTTGACCAGAGCTATTGGTAGTTGAAGTTTCCCTCGTATCATATTTAACTGAAAAGGATAAAATGAGTGATACTTCCCTTTTTTCCCCTCCAATTAAAAATGATGAGCAAAAAAAAAAAAAATGTTATATAAATTGTGTTGCTGCAGGAGATGCGGAATTCAAGCAGAACAAACATTTGCCTGCTGAAAAGCAGATTGTAACCGCAAATCCAGACATAAACACTGTATGTATTTTTGCTTCCCTATTTACTGTGAGTTGGTTTAAGATTCACACACACATAAAATCAAAAAGATGTGCTCCCAGGATTGAGGTGAATTATTCACTCGGTGTTTAAAGTGTTTCCTTTTTCGATTTATATGAAGAAAGTGATATTTTACGGCTTTGAGATCATAAATACTTTTTCTTCCTTGGAGTAGGTTTCCTGGCATGGTTGGGATGAGTTCAGCAATTGAAAGAATTGTTCAGCTTTTATTCATAACATCCATATGTCATTTATCAATTTCCTTTGGCACAGGTCGAGCTTTGTCATGACGACGAGTTTCTTGTTTTAGCTTGTGATGGGATATGGTGAGTTAGTTTTCCATCTAATGTCGTGTAAAATTTTGTAGCAGCGCAGTAGATTCTCCTTATATATCATCTTTAATACTATCATTAACAAGTTTCCTATTGGTTATCTTTTATGCAAATTATTCACTAAATTTGGCTGCATTTGGCTACTTTCCATTATGCTACTTTGACAGAACGCTGACTTTTCTTAGTCCCATTCTTTAGGGACTGCATGTCTAGCCAACAACTGGTGGACTATGTACGAGAGCAGTTAAAAGAAGTAAATTTGCAAGACTCACACTCACACCCACACACACACCCCCATTCATTTTGTTTGGAATGTAGATAGATAACACAACTGTTTCTATCTGACAAATGCAGGAAACGAAACTCTCGGTCGTTTGCGAGAGAGTATTTGAGAGATGCGTGGCGCCAACTGCTGGTGGGGAGGGATGCGACAATATGACGATGATCCTGATTCAGTTTAAGAAACCAGTTAGCTCAAATGCTTCAGTGAGTGACTAGTCCTTTTCATGAGCAACCATCTGAGACTCAATAAAGAAGTCATCTAAAGTGACCACCATTTCCTGGAGTCGCGGGCTGTGGCTACCGTTAGCTTCCACACTTAAAAGGTCACTTCTCATGACATTCTTGTACATATGCAAGGTTGTTTACCAAGTATTATTGAGATCGAGTAATGTACATGTCTCTGTTGGGAGTTTGGCTGGTGGGTGCCCCAGATTTTTGAGTAAGGGCTTTGCCTGCTATTCTTATTCAATGATCAACAACTTGTTTCACCATGTCCAGCTGAGCATACAAAGATGAAGAAATAAATTACATGTTCTTATTTTTCTGGGAAGCATTACAACCTTTTTAAAAAAAAAAAAAAATAATAATAATAATAATTTGGCTATGAAGCTTAAGGACCTAATCTCAAAAACGAGTGAGTTTCTTCACAGAATTATTTCAGTGGGAAAAATGAAGTGGGAGGTGATTCACATCCTATAATATAATAACAATTCAAAAGGAGCAAGCACATTTTTAGGTCATGAACGGAATGATATTGGATGAGAAGTAATATTAGGAGAATTCCGTGGTGAGATCAGATTAGATTAAAAAAAATAAAAAATAAAAGTATGATAATGTTAGGGTTAATAGAACTTGATAAAAATGTGACGCTTAAAAACTGTGTCCTAACAAGATATTTTTACTTTCCATACCCTACCAAATAATTCTACATAATAATATCAGCCTAATCTTTGTGAACCTCTATCTAAACCAAGCATAATGCAAACATAGGACTTGAAAGATGATATTCTTTTTCTCTTAATAAACTTGCATCTCTTAGCAATCAATAGATTAGAAGAGAATTTTATGATATCATAACAACGTCAGATTAGCGTTGACATAAAGATTCCACCTTATCCTAACTTCAAAAAATAAAAAATAAAAAAAAAATAAAATCTATTTGATAGAAAGTTAGAACATTGATTGATCATTCTCCGAAAGGTCCAAAAAGACTTGTTTCTAACAATTAGAGGTTATACTAAAATTAATCTTTTTTTATTGTTTTCAAGCCTCTAGTCTCTTTCCGTTGGTAAAAAGAAGAGGGAAAAAAAAGATTTCTAAAAAAAAAAAAAAAAAGGGGAAAAACAAACCCATGACACGATCAATATAGACTTGAACGCTTTGTCAAGTGTGAGCCAAAAGAAAAGAAGACATGGAAAGTCCAAAAGGAAGAGGGAATTGAGAAAACTTGGCTTCAACAGCCATGGAAAAGCTATGAAATTTCAAAAGATGCTTAAAGAGATTAATGAAGAAACTGCTGTAGCAAGTGCTTTGATTGGCTGCTAAGATCACCATGGAAATAGTGGAAGAATGAATATGTTTTGTTTCCTCATCATAGCTTCTAGAAGCAAGTATTTTTTTTACCTACCTACTCTTTTGGTCTTAGTGGTATTATTACTAAATTTGACTGAGGTATCTACTTTGTTTCCATTGTGGTTTCCTCATCTTGTAATTAGTCTTACAGAGTGACAAAATGAAAGTAGTTTATCTAAGTTTACATATATCCCAAATTATGTGATAACTGACATTTTAAATTATAATGTAGGTCACGTTCACTTCGCAGATTCGAGTTTTTAATTCGAGTTGAGATGTGACATTTTCTGAGAGCTTTGCATTGTAACAGAAAAAGTTAGATATGACATTTTCTGAAAGTTTTTTACTGTAGAAATCTAAAACTGAAAACTCAAATCGGTGAAGTGAATGAAGGTTTTAATTATATGTGTATTTTACTTCACGAATTTGACACTGCACTTTTATGGCTTTACATCATTTCTTATGAAAATTGATAAACAAATATTGATGCATGTAAGCATTACCTCTGGGTCAAAACAAAAATTAATTAATTTCACAGGACTGAGATATCTGAAAAAGTTTCTCGGCCAAATGCTCTTACACTAATTCACCTGACGGAATATGTAGGCTTGAATTTACTCTAAAATGAGACATTGATCTGATTATAACATAACTCCTGCGTATTGTTATTTGTTTTGTTAGAATAGATTTTCTTGAGATATTGATATACATATACATACATACATATATACATATATATATATATATATATATATATATATATATAGACACACACACACACATATGACATATTGATAGAAGATATTGATAGCTTCATATAGGTACAAGTTTTACAACTAACATGTTGCAGCCGAATAGAGACATTGGAAATATCTATTTTGGAATAAAAAAAACAAAAATATCAAACTTTGAATTTTTTTAATTGATCCCTCTTGTTGATTGGAGCTTCTCTGAAATCTCCTTTATGATAGTAACACGTAGAGAGACAATGCCGGTCCTAAGAATTAGATATTATGAGATATTATGCATGAGATTATTGCCAAACATGAATGGTTCAAGTGCGATCTTGGCAACTTTGTGGAAAAAGAAAATCAACGAGGAAGCGCAGTTAAGAAGTCAGCGTTGCTTTATGTTGACCAGATTATTGTAATTTTCAAATAATTTTCTACCAATTACAATCTCAAAGTCTAAAATTGAAAGTCTTTTGAACCAACTGCGCCCCTTCAAAGAATTCTTGGAGTAGAAAATGGATTGGAGTAGTTTGGGTCCAACTATGAAAATGGAAAAACGTGAAAAGAAAACTCGTTCACTTGACGGATTCAAGTTTTCAATTTGAGCTGAAATGTCACATTTTCTGAGAACTTTTCACTGTTACAGAAAAAGTTAGATGTGACATTTTCTGAGAGCTTTTTACTGTAAAAATCTAAAACTGAAAACTCGAATCGGTGAAATGAACGAGACCGAAAGGATCTTTTTTATGATAAGGAAAAGTTATATAAATCAACTACATTTGATAAAAATCTATTTGTCAAAACAATTGAATATTGATATGTTATTTTCTCTTATCCAATTAAAAAATTCTCAATTTCTAGTTGCATTTTTAGTCTTAATTTATTGCCTTGACGTATTCTGTATTTATTTTACTTATACCTTCATACATTATGCATTCTTTTGAGGCAATTCTGTATTTGCATAATATTTAATGAAAAATAGAAATATATTAAAAATTTAGAACATTTTTTAGTAGGCCAGTTTACTGATAAAGTTAGTTTTTAATTATTAAAACTATATTAAATATACATCAAATTAAAAAAAAAATATACAGAATAAATAATTTTTTATATATATCAAAATATTAAAAAATAAAAATCTATCGATAATTCATTTTTTTCAATAGATTAAAGAAACTCCCTAAAAATCTATTGATAGAATGGTAACCAAAGTGTGAATGTCACATGAATCACATTTTCCATAAATCTGCTGGGATAATATATTATTATTATTATTATTAATATTTTTTGCCCTTTTTATTGACGAGGATTATGCAAATGACTTGCTGGTGAACGCGTAGGAGAGAGACTACAGACTACAGGCCCTCAAATTTAAGGACTGACCCATTAAAAAAGGGATTTCTAGCGCAAAAAAAAAAAAAAAAAAAAAAAAGGACCCATTAAAAAAAAGATGGTTCACATGCATTACACGTCTGAAAGCTATAGGCTATAATAAAAGGGACTTATCCAGTTGTCGTAGTATGGCTTCAAATAAACCGCGTGTAAGCTGTTTCAACAAACAGCTGTTGTATTTTTGTGGAGAAAACAAAGAAAAATTCAACATTATCCATTTAAAAACTAAATTCAAGAGCGCCACGAGATAAATGCAGAGGCAGTCATTAAGGAACATCCCACGTCAGTATTTTTGTTTATCAAATGCTTCTTAGTGTTGTGAATTTGGCCTTTTTGCTGCATGGACGAAATACTTTACATCCATGCCCACCCTCATTGTTGCTGTAAATTATAATCTTTTATTGTTACTATATATTATTATTATTTTTTTTCAATGAAGTTTACTTCCCAAGCTGGTGTACCTGAGCAGCTGAATCAAATAATGTGGACGTCGATTCAAAACAAGCGCCTTTTACGTTTTCCTGTCAATAAAAAACTACTTTTTTTTTTTTTTTTTTATAGTATTAGTAAAATAAATAAAAAAGATGACCAAGTCCTTTTTTAAAAGGAAAAATTACATTTTATTAAAATATTAATAAACAATAATTTTAGTACAATGCTAACTCATCTTAAGGACAAACGTACTTTTGAGGCCCGAAACAAAAAAAGTACCTCGACACACTATCAATGAGCGGACTGCAAGCTCGACTGGAGAAAACTCATCTCTTCAACATAAGCTGTCGAGCATTGGAGGAGCAGATCATCAAAACCCATAAAAAGGAGACATCTACACGGCATAGGAAAAATTCTAACCGGACTAAGACCACCCAATCGGCATTAAGCCGAACACCTAAATCTAACAAAAAATAACAAACCAGATAAGGGTCGTGTGGGAAAACCATCAACCTTACTACAAACATAAAAGTTATAAAAAGACAAAAACCCCCGACCACCGCCGGTAGAAACCTCCGGTGGAGGGTGGCCGGCCAAAAGACCATTGATGAAGACAACCAACGAAGAGATCTCAGTCACTAAGTGGAAAACTCTCCTGAGAAAGGAGATCATCAATTCAACTTCTAAGCTCTTAACCAGTTTAGATCTGTTCAAACAGAACAACCACGTCGTACATCACTATCACCAACGAAAAACTCATGACGTGACTAGTCAGAGAATTAAATTTCACGGTCAGAAATCTCACGATACGCTCTATAACAGTGCCGAAACTTCGATCAACCTCTATTTTTAAGAACCTCCTCACTCTCTCTAACTCTCCCTCCCTTGACCAATTAATAGTGATGGTATAAAAGATGACCAAGTCCAAACATACGAAACAAACAAATTTAAAAGGACATCACCTGTAATTTAAAATACTCTCTGATTTTGTGTGAATTAATAAAACGAGTAGCAAATTCCTTTAAATAAGGGCTTGCTTGCGCGGATCTGCGTGGATTAAAATCCTTGAAAGTCACCTTATCCACTCAGCAGTCTCACTGCTTCCAACGCTTCCCATATATATATATATTTTAAATTTTTGATAAAAGGAATAACAGAACAAAATCCTCTTTTTTTTTTTTTTTTTGGGCTAGAAAAACAAATCACCGAACCGTCTCAACGGTAGAAATTTGAAAGGAAAGTCTTTTTTCCCATAATTTACGTACCCAGAGCTAAATACAAAAGATTTATCATGATCCTTTTCTCCATGTTATATTCGCCACGTGTCTGACTTCCTCACCTCCTGGTCCCCAATCTGATTGAGAATTCATATGTTTATTGGGCCGTTTAATTAATTAATTTAAAATTTTAATTTAAATTAAATTATAATTTTTATAAGAGTTTTTTATTATAATAAAAAAATTAAATGTAATTATTTTTTTAAATTTTTTATTTTAATAAAATTTAAATTTTAAATTTAAATTAGTAAAATAAACATACCCATTATTTATGGTGCAGGTTCTTTGTGATTTTTATTGTGGCCTCAAATGTTTGAAGATTTTGTAGTTCTAGTCCTGATCTTTTCTTTTCTAGTTAATTAAAAGTTGGCTATTTTTCTCCTTGGCCTTCAAAATGAGTTTTTTTTTTTTTTTTCTAATCAAAATGAGTCTTAAAAAAAAAAAGATATGATTTTGAGTATGATGCAACAATCATCAAATTAAAAAAATTGAAAAAATTGATGCTTGATTAATAGTAAATAGTAAACAAATAAGAACAAGAAACATCAAAAGGAGTAAAAAAAAAAAAAGCTTGAAACTGTTAAACGACTTTAAAACTTGAAAAAAAAAAAGAAGTTTAACGGAATATCCAAAAAAAATCCTAAAAATAGGAGGAGAAACGGGAATAATCCGTAATAGAAAAGGGAATATTTGATTATCCCATCCATAACAAATCCAAAAAAAGGGTCTCCAAATCTGACTAGGACCAATTATACAAATTACAAAGCAACATAACTGATAAGCACAGGCACGGCAAAGCCTTCTCTCTCTCTCTCTCGCTTTTTAATCCAAAAAAAGACGCACCCCGTTGGATAAGGACTCCACACCTCAATGTCCACTCTATAAATACGACCCCCTTCCCTTCTTCAAAAGCCTCCTTTATCCATTCTTCTATTCTATTCAACAATCAGTCATTGTTTTTTCTTCTCTTTCTTTGAAGCCTTTTGCTTTTTCCGTTTTTCTCTCTCTTTGGGTTTGGTTTCTGAGTGTTCTTGGATTTGCGATTCGAGAGATTTTCTGATCGGTTTTGCGATGGCTGCTGCTACTGCTGGAGTTATTGGCGGTAATGGATCGTCTTGGATTCCGGTCAAGGACAAGCCGACCAAGACGAAGACGACGACGAACAGAGTTAGGGTTTGTCGCGCTTCTTATTCTTCCTCTGTGTTGGATCCGTACAAGACTTTGAGGATCGAACCAGGTGCCTCTGAATCTGAGGTCAGGAAGGCTTTCAGAAAGCTCGCTTTGCAGGTTCGATTTCGATGAATCTCTCTTTTATTTCCTTTTTTTTTTTTTTTTTTTTTTTTTTTTAAAAAAAAAAAATTCTTTTTTTTTTTTTTTTTTTTTTTTTGTAAATAAAAAGAATCTGTTCTTTATTTCTCTATCCATCCCCGATTCCATAATCTTTCTTTGAAATTCAAATTTTGTTGGGATTTCTAGGGTTTCTTTGTCTAAAAATAGGAACTTTTTTGTTTTCTCTTGGATTTGCAGTATCACCCTGATGTATGCAAAGGAAACAATTGTGGGGTGCAATTTCACACAATAAATGAAGCATATGATGTGAGTACACAATTTTTTTTATTTCAATGAAATTATTTGTTATGGATATATATATTTATTTGACTTTAATTTGTGATTATAATAAATCTGCGCAGATTGTGATGAGCAATTTGAGAGAAGAATCTACAACACAGGACATATACGAGCAGTACGAATACGATCAAGGGATTGATGAGCCGATGAGAGGAATGTACGATTCAGATTACGACATGTGGGAGGAGTGGATGGGTTGGGAAGGAGCTGGGATTAGAGATTACTCGTCTCATATTAATCCCTATCTTTAATTTATTTTTTTATTAGCAACTGTGAATTTGTAAATGGAGAGGGTTCAAAACCCAAATTCATCAACTATAAAAATGGTTTCTTTTCTGTATATAATTGAACTGAGGATCATAATAATTCAAAAATCCTCTCCCTCCTGTGTACATAGTTGGAGCTGAGTTTTTTTCTTGGCCCTGATTGTTATTAATGCCAATTTCCTCCTTCTATTTCCAATTTTCTTATTTATTTATCTTTGGTTTCTAATTATTTGTTTCTTTTATAATTAAAGTTCTGTTCTGAGTTTAAAATTTAAATTTTATTACTGTAAAAATGTTTTATAAAATAATCATATTTAATTTATTTTTACAATAAAAAATTTTTACAAAAAAGTGCGTCTCAACTTGAATTTTTTCAAATCGTAAACGGGCCTAAATCATTAGTTAGATATGTTTGTAGATTTGTGGTATCAATAATCTGCATGATTGAAGTAACAATAAATGCATATCGACTTAGGTTTTGTAAACAAACAAATCAGGGATTAACAGAAAATTAGTAAAATATGTATTCTTAAATATCTCAATTTATCGTATTGATAGAAGTCTTTTTTTTTTTTCTCATTAAATCTTATTAAATTTTGTTCATTTTATCGATTTAAATTTAAAAATTGAGTTTTATTATAGTAAATTTTTTTTAAAAACAGTAATAAATATTTTTTACATAAAATTACATTTTAATTTAAATTAAAAATTTGAATCAGTGAATTAAATAAATTTTTAATTAAAATATTTTTCTTTAATCATATTCAGTGCGGATAATTCTTTTTTTTTTTGTTCATTATTATTATTATTTGTTTGCTCGAAGATGAATCATCGCTTGTGTTTGGTATCAAGAATTTGAGAATTATCTTGGCAATTCCAAAAGGTACACAGTTAAAAATACAACTGGAATTTTACACTAAATTTCCAGATATAGGCCACAAGCATCTGTTTTTCAAGGAATACCAATAAATTGCGAAAGTCGTAGTATCATTAAGAGTTAAGATCCGTGTAAAAGGTATATTAAATTCATGATTCTTAATTTTAACGTTTAAAAATTAAATTTTTTTTATAAAAAATACTATATTTTAACGTATAAAATTTAAAATTTTTATGAAAAAAATACTGTAACAGAATTTAATACTGTAGTAAAAAAATCATTTAAGATTTAAGCATATGAAATAAAAAGAATTATAGATTTTCAAATCTAATGAAAGAAGTTACGTGGTACGTTGGTGTTCTTGATTGAATCACAAATCGGTGGTTACATAGTCAAATCTGAAGAGCTTGTCAATTACATAGCTATCCAGATAAAAATATAAGTTACATAAGAAAAAGGAGATAAAATAACAAGGAATCTTTCCGAGGTATAAATTAGAATATACTCAGATTAAGCAGAGTACAAAGTGCTTAAACAACAGTCAACCATCCTTGTAGAGCAGTCTTCTTTCGTCTCTTTAGACTCAAAACTTGTCGTTTCATGCCAGCTGATGGAGAAATATGAATCCAACATTGACAATTGAATGAAAAATGAAAATATATTAAAGAGATTTACAATTTTCACTTTTTTATTTTTATTTATTTTTATTTTATTTTCCTTCTAAAAAGCAAGCAATCACTATGCTTGATGTGGTCTTACCCTCCCAATTTCCATCGAAAGTCCCAAAACAGGGTATGCCTCATGATGAATTGATCTAGTGAGACTTTCTGGCAATTTCCATCAATTTTCAACAAAGTACACAGAAACACAAGTAGAGGCACAAGCAATCAAAAACAGAGAATCAACAAAAGAATCACACCAAGACTTAACGAGGTTCGGAGATTGAATTCTCGTACGTCCTCGGGACTGGAACCGCTTGTGATGATCACTATTGGAGAATAAATGTTACACCCTCAGAGATCAGTTCAGAAATTGGATCTCGTTGTTCTCACCAAAATTCTCAAGACAAACCTCTCTGATTTTCTCTCGAGCCAAACAAAATTCTTACAGTACAAAATGTGCTCTCAAATACAGTAAATTACAGTGATAGTATCCTATCCTTCTGCGAACTATAACCTATTTATACAACGAGTCACAAAACTAAAACTGATACATGCTAGAAATAAGATCCACAGAAGCAAAATAAGTTGAAAACCAAAGCGAAAGCGCGCCAGCTGACTGAGAAATATGAACCGCACGTTGATAGGTGATGAGAAAGGAACATACATTAGTACCAACTTGCCATAGTACTATTATTTTAGTTCATACGCTTTAAAGCATTGGATGTTGACATCTAGTTTCGGATTTGTCGATAACTTCTCCATAAAAGAAACTCTTGATCTGCATGATGCAGCAAAGCATCCAGAAATTCGGTTGATCAAGAAATTCGGTTGTCACTGTCTTCTCCAGCAAAGCATTCCCAACTGTTTTCAGTTAAAATGCTGATCTTGAATAGGACTGATTTAGCACATCACCAATCAGTGTATCATGCCATCTCACAGTAACATGTGTCATAAAATGAGGACACACAACAAGCAGTCCAGAAAGATATTTCCACGCCGTAGAATGGAGCAGAAGCCTTGGATTAATCAGAATTCAAAGGATTCTTTCATTCTGTTAACACAAGACATGGTTGGGTTTTTATTGCATAGCAAATTTGTGCCAGAAGATACCCTGAAAAGGTCAACAGAAGCACATATACCCAAAAGCCAGAGCCAAAGTGCTCCAACAACCACCCTTATTGAGTACTCTTCGTCCTTCTTCTTCAACCTGAAATTGCAACCAGCATTTTCAGTTGCCATATCATGCCACTTGATTGAGAAATCAGAACCACATATACATAACTGAATGAAAAATGAACACACATTAGAATGAACTTGCCATTTGGTTAAATTGCATACCTATAAAGGCATTGGACGTTGACATCAAGTTTTGGATTTGTCGGTAACTTCTCCATAAAAGAAAACTTGATCTGCAGCACGTAATCCATTGGTTTATTAAATGTATGACGATATATAACTATTTTTTTTTTCTATATGGTTATAGAACAGATAGGCTTTGAAAAACATACCTCGACCGCTACATGTCCTATAGCAGCTAATAATTTTGTGTTGCACATCCATCAGCACAAAAGTTAGAAACCTCAGAACCATGTAGTTGAATCCAAGGGCTCTGAAAGGCCAGTAGATCTAAAATTAATATATCGAGCTATGCTAAAAGGTTAACTTCATGACAGAATACCTTAATCTTGTAGAAATTTCTACTCCTCCAAGATCAATACTCTCCTTCTACAAGTGATTCAAAAACTCTAATTTTTGTGTACAAAATGAGAGAGAAATTCAAATGAGATTTACACTTTCACTTAAAATAAAAAGAACAGAAGCAATCACTTTGCTAGATGAGCTCTTACTCTCCAAATTTCCATCAATGTGGTCCCAGAACAGGTTTGCATCATGATGAATTGATATAGTGAGATAGTCTGGAAATTTCCATCAAGTGTTCTTTTGTGGCTGCAAAAGTTCATGGCCCTTGGCTGTTTTAGTGGAGAAACATACAAACATGCCCCTGACAAATCTGAAGACTATAATATGTCATTAACATATAATCTTGAAACCAAAGAAAATTTGGAAAATCCAAAAATGAGGTGAGTAGAATTTCGTTTCATGACTTACCATAAGAAAGAAATCATCTGGAAAGATCATCACAACGCTTGAGTCTCCGCACATATGGATAATACTTCTTCCGATTGGACATGTGTATGCTAATGAGGCTAGAGTCGAAAGAAAATATCATAGTGAGAGAAGGTAATGTATTGAAAAAAAAAAGTGGGGATTATGAAAATACATATGGGCCACAAGTTGACATAAGCTTTTGAAGCAAAGACTAAAAATATGCGAATAAGTTCAGAAATTTTGTGCATGAAAGGATAAAGTAAAATTACCAGAAAATGCTGGAGCATTATCCGCCTCATCGATCCAAGAGCCAAGCTTCATGACACTAGTTGCATGCATTTTTCTACTTCCGACGAGTTTCATTCGCTTGATGATGTTTCTCCATCGTCACTTTCGTCTTTCTGAATCCAAACACCATTTTTCTGCACGTACTTTTTATTGATTTGGATGTTTGGGACATGAAAAATCTTGTACCATTCCTTTCCGGTACCTTTTCGGACATTTCGTTGCAAAATTTTAGACTTTTTGATAGATAAATTTTGCAGTGGAGTCATTTGGAGGAAATCTGGGAGCTTTTCCAGGTTGTGACACTTGGTAATCTTCAAGGAGTGAAGACATGGCATAATTTTTGTCGGTGTCGTTGTTGTCATCCTGTAACCTTCCCACTCTTTCCCTCTTTCCACTCCTCGTTCCAATCAAATTTAAGCTTTTTCAATCTCGGAAAAGAAATAATGGATGGTTCGGATGGAGTATCCTGATCCCTTCTAGCTATACCGTGATCTTCTTCGTCTCTTTCTATAATTCCAAGGAATTCTGGACCCACCTTCTTCAAGCTATCCAAGCAACAAATAACCAGCGAAACAAGAGAAGGCATTTTTCCTAGTGGGGGTAAAATCTCACATTTTGTACAAAAGTTTAGTTCGAGACTTGTCAAATTAGTTAGCGACATCATCCAAGTGGGAGACACTGTTGCACCTTGGTAGTTTGAGATTTCTAATGCTTTTAAGTTAGGATGTGGTTGCAAGGATTCCAGAATTTCAGTATCATCATCAAGAATTTCTCCAATTTCATACAGCTCATCAGATTCTCTAAATTCCAGTGTCAAGTCAAGAAGATGTTGCCAACTGCTGAGATTTATCTTTTCAGCCTCATCAAGATTGCCCGCGTTTGCGCACCTTTGAATACAGAGAATGCTTTGAAATTGAAGGTATTTCAACATTTTTAGATCTCCGAGATCAAGATATGTTTTTCTCTCCTTGGGCACCACCCACATATCAAGAGTGAGGAGACCAGTCAATTTTGCTATCCCTTTTGGCAGGCCCTCGAAGCAGCACCCAAAGATATATAGATTTTTTAAGTTGACCAGTTTTGCAATCTTCTCTGGTAGTCTTGGAAGTGAACTGCAATTACACAATGCCAGAGTCTGAAGATTATACAGATTAAACAATGTGCCAGGCAATTCCTTCAAATTAGTGTTACCAGACAAGTCCAGATATCTTAGATGTTTCAATAAACCAATATCCTCTGGTAAAATTTCAAACTCGCAGTCATCCATTGTTAACGTCCGGAGACGTGTCAGATGAGAAAACAACAATATTCTATCAACATGTAGTTTGTTGCTGTCCGCGTAAATGTAAATTGAGCGCAAATTCTTTGCATTGTGCCTTAGGGTCAGAAAATGGTCTTCAGATCTAACCGCCAAGGTCAAGTGACGAGTGCTTTCATCTACTTCCTTTTTATTCTCTTTAATACCATCAACTTCTATCAGAACGTATTCACTACCCATCAAAAATTGAGCAAAGTCATGAACTATGTCATGCATTTTGCAAGTAATGGTTCCATAGTATTCACCCTCTTTGAAATCTTGAAAAAAGGACCGCATAGCTAAACTTTCAAAACAATCTCGACCTTCTTTCTTGGAATTTATTGTTTGGCTTAAATAACCTTGTGACATCCACATCTCGATCAAGTCATCTCTTTCAATATCATAATCTTTAGGAAATACCGAACAATATAAAAAACAACGTTTTTGCAGAGGAGGTAGATCGTAATAACTAAGTAGAAATGGAGCAAAAATTTCCCTAACTTTAACATCTTTCGACTCCCACAGTTCACTGCACAAAATGTCCTCCCATTGACTTATGGTCTTTCTAAAGCGCATGAGACTACCTAAAGTTTTAGTAACAAGGGGCAAGCCACTTGATTTTCTTGCAATTTGCCTACCAATATTTTCTAATTCGGCGCGCTCCTCTGTTGTTCTTTCCATGAATGCCAATTGGCTAAAAATTAACCAACAATGCTCTTCAGACAATCTTTCCAGACTAATCTGGTGTGTGGCTGCCCCCATCATGATCGAAACTTCTTGCTTTCGGGTGGTCACCAGTATCGTACTCCCTATAGCACCATTTTGAAGAGCTACATGTACAGTTTCCCATCTACTGTAATCTTCAAGCAATACATCATCTAGGACGAGAAGAAATTTCTTTCCCTCGACGGACTCATGAATGCAGCGCACTAAAGCATTCAATTCGACTGAACTTGGACCACTACTTCCGAGGCCTTCAATAATTGCTTTGGCAATCTTGACCTCCTCGAAAGGATCTGAGACGCACACCCAAATTCGCTTATCAAAGTGGGTCTTAATCGTCTCATCATTATAAGCTAGCTGGGCAAGAGTAGTTTTTCCGAGACCGCCCATCCCCACAATGGGGATGATATCAAGGTGTCTCCCATCATCACTGCTCTCACTCAACAATTTGCTTATTAACAGACTCTTATCCTCATCTCGACCTTGAACTTTGGTTTCATCAATAAGGAAAGTAGTCTGTCGATGCTCAGGTCGTTCAACGATCCTCTTTATGTTAAGGTTGTAGTTATCTTTATCTTTGGCAATCCTATCCAGGTCTTGGTTCAGTTCTTTGATTTTGAGAGCAATGTCACGACGCAAAGTAAGACGTTTGACTCTGGTAAAATAGAAGCAAGAAGAGGGCATAGGAAAACACACCTTCTTGTTTGATGAAGAAGCATTGTTTTCAGCTTCCTCTTCTTTCTTGATTTTGAATTCAAGAATGGCAGTGTTCCACTCGTCCAGAACATCATCCATGTCGTGCGCCGCATTATTGAGCTTATCCAACCATCTCTTTAGACTCGCATCGTTCAGTTGCTTCTGCTCAGCATCCTTAAGCACTGCTCGAATGTCCTCAAGATTGGTCTTGAGGTTCGCAACATCTTCATCCACACCTTTGACCAGCCTCACTTCCTCTTCAATCAGCTCAAGAGCCATGGAACCGAAATGCTCAATGAGTAATGAGACTAGAGCTTCAGCCATACTCAGATTCGGAGCTGTTTTCACAATAGAGGAATTGTTTTCACAATGAGACTATACTTCTCTCTGTGAAAGATCTGGACATAAAAATGGATGTAGGAGTTAGGATCTCTGATTAGAGATATTAAATAATAGTAAGGCTAGCTGTAATCCAAGAGGATGAGGGAAAAAAAGAGGAAAATTTCTTGCTGGTGTGAGTTTGCTATAACGGCAACCCTAATAAATAATTAAAAAAAAAGTCTTCTTTAATTTTCTTTATATTATATAAATAAACAAAAAAGTGAGACAAAGTCTTCTTTGAATTTTTTTAATATGATGGTGCAACTTGCATGGTATTTAATTACATGGTGTGAATATTTTTTGGCATTTGATTGTGCTGCCACATTGAAATATTGTATCTACTCGCATGGTGTGAATATTTTATAGCTAGAATGAGTTGGAACCTCATCGAGACAAAAAAACAAAAAAAAAAGGAGGTAGAGAAAGTTGGTATTTTATTTCCGGAAAAAAACTGGTTGATGAACGACTTTATACAAAAAAAAAAAGGTCATTAATGTCTAGGTGAGACATTAAGTAACAGACTAAGGAAAATATATACATGATTTCTCGATGGTTTGAGTTTGCTGGTGCGGGTTATAATAAAGGTTTTCACGATTTTTTTTCTTGGCAAATAACAAAAAATGAGTGGATAGTTGTTCAAAAAAGAAACGCACACATAATTTATAACTAGTCTGTATATATTTAATATTTCATTTGTAATTTTTCAATGCAACCACAAACTTGTTAGAATGAAAATTTTGAAACCTGCAGTTGATAATGATGCAGAGGCTGGTTTGTGTAAAATTATCCAAAAAAGCCGTCTTTGTTTCTTATATAATGGTGCAACTTGCAACCTACAACTTGCAACGTAAGTTGACTAAATCATAATAATTTTGGGTATTGATTTTGCCGCCACATTTAAATATGTTATCTACTCACATGGGGTGAATGTTATACATATAAGATGAGTTGGAACCTCATCATCAAAAAAAAAAAAAAAAAAAAATGAAAAACAAGAGAAAGTTTACCTCTTTGAAAAAATTTTGGATAGACGTTATTACTACGACATGAATCTACAAAGAGAAAAACGGCGGTGAATTGTGGATTGATCTGATGATGTCATCCGAATTTCAGCAATGAAAATATCAATCCAAAATTATAAAAGTCTCCTTGTAATCACATCTCAAATTCGCACATTCTAATAAACCTGAACATTAGCGTTTATATACAATTTGGAACACAATTAATAAAGAAAAGTGAGGCAACTAAATTACACATATCAATTTAAACTTTCACGAGTTACCAGATTACTCCAGTGATGACTTTATATAATAATCATTTTGCCTTGAGCATTTGTCAAATAAGTGTCCACGAGCTTCATTCGGAATTTGCGAGAGAAACAATTGTGATTTTAGAGTATCATCCCATCCACAATGTTTTATTTTTTTATTTTTTATTTTTATTATTTTTTTTTTCAACTGAGTATCCAGGAATAAACTTTCCTGCAACATAAGAGGTGCTTTCTTCTGATCGCTGTTATTACTTGATTTAAATCCACAACAGAAGAAACTAGTTCTATGATCCAAATTTCAAGAAAATAAAAAAACTACATTTTTTATCCAAGTGCATATGTAAAACGCAATTTCTTGCATTTCCTCATTTTGGTATGCTAGCCACTTTACTTTAATTTCTTGCATTTCCTCATTGGTAGATCAAAGGAAATTGAAAAACATAACAACACAATATTATTTTGTAGGAAATAAGGAAATGTGTCCAAAGTAGCCAAGTTGAACATCTAAAAAAGCTAGTTGAAGAAGAGTAGTTACCTGAAAACGTTGGGCTGAGATGTTACAGAACTCAATTTGATGCAACAAAAAAGAGGAGCCCGAATTCTCTATGATTGTTGCAAAATTTTCCACAAGTCGTGAAAGTAATAAAATGATTAAAAAGTCGAATATCGTCCCCATAAGGATTGAATTTTTAAGAATTAAATTAAGTACCGTGAGTGTTCGTGACTAAATTTTATCTAGGAGTGAATTAAGTAATTGAAGCAAAAAAAGTAAATTAATTTAACTATTAAAACTAAAACACAAGATCTAACAAAATAAGTAACTAAATATCGAAACTTTGAATAAAAATTAAAATAATAATAGCGTTTGAAGGTCCTGACTTCGTTTCGCTCTCTTTATGTCTTCTTATTTAATGATTGCTAATTAATTTAACTCAATTCAATAAGCAAGGTAGTCGTATATATTTGATTATCAGCGGGATATGTAATACCTTACGTGTATTTATGGAAAAGCAACATTTCTTTTTCACTCTAAACTGTGCACAATTTCTTTTGCTGTGCTTTCATCTTCTTTTTAATCTCAAAGTTATTTGCTTTTTTTTTAGTTAGAAAACTTGGTTAAATCTAATTTTTCTTGAATAATATTACTAATTAATTAGACGTATTGATTATTCGCACCAAATATATGAAATTGCATAAAAAAAAAACTTAATGTGACACTAATAACTAAAGTGAAACTTTGAAAATTCTAATTTAGTAAACTAAGTAAATAGTATTTTTTTTTTATGTACGCACTAGTAATTAAGGTGCAAAACGTTTTTTATTGAATTAAAAATACCTTATTAACTAAATTTATAATGGGCTCGATTGTACAGTAGATAGACGTACACTACTACTTAGTACACTCAATTAGTAAAGCTCTCTATTGCTCAGTAGAGTAATACAACTAGTAAGTAGAGTCACTTACTATATGATAGACTTTAATAATATATGTCTCTACTCTCTGCTGTCCGGTAGAGTACTATTTATAATGGGCAGTAGAATTAATTTTCAAGCACTTTTATAATGTAATTTAAAATGTTCTAATATAAAACAAAACATGCTCTAATAATAAACGTCAAAGCAGGTTCGAAAAGTATAACATAGTGTCTAAAATAAATACATAAAAAAGAACAAGATTAAATTGCAAATTAAGTCCGGAAATTTAATCTCTGTGTCAATAACAATAACAATAGCCTCATCATTATTTTCATTAAACCATTGGTAACGAGCCTTTCTGTTTCTTCCATGCTCCACCGCAACAAATCATGATAACTGTCTGAGGCATTTCCTAAAGAAAATAATAAAAAATATATTACGTGAGACAATGAATATGAGATAAGATACAAATTTTAAAAATAAATTTAAACCATTCAAAAGATAAATCAATTAATGAAAACTATAGCACATTCACCTTCCACAGATTAACATTGCAATACAAAAATGCCAAACTTTTACTATAAGCATAAACTCTCAAAACATACACTAAATAAATAAATATTAGCCATCAACAATTCAAAGTCTTTAAAAAACGTTTACCGTCTAAGTCTATATAATCCAATTTGCTTTGAATATGAATAATATAACAAGCAATAAGCCCCAAACATCTTAAATTCTAGTGTAATTCACAGTAAAACTCTACTGCCCTTTGAGCTCTACTGTTGTTTCTAGTAGAATCCCTACTGCTCAACTGATAGTGCATCTTTATTGTGCAGTCGAGATCTCTACTGCATTATAGATCACTAGTTCATCTTCAACCTCAATTTTTCATCTTAAAAATCACAAATTCAATCTCAAAATGCAAAAAATGGTCGAATTCTTCAACAAATGAAAAAACACAAAAAACCCAGGGTTTAAACAAAAATTTAAAGCAAAAAACTAAATTAAATTATATATTATACCTTCAAATCCATTTTAAATGTAGAACCTCCATAAAATGAGTAAAATGGACAAACTTTCACCACATTTGGATGCTTAGTTGATCAAAAATGACTTGTGTGGGTAGTGTATATAGAATGAAAAATGAGAACCTCCCCTCTTTCCTTCTTTCTTTCTTGAACGAGAAGATGGTGTTTCTTTTTTATTTTTTTGCTCTCTTTTCTTTTAATGTTCATTATTTTAGAGAAAAGGGTATTTTTGTCACTCAATCTCATTAAACTCAAACATATAAATCAAAACTTGTAACTTTTAAAGGTATGAAACTAAAGAGAAGAACTTTTAAAGGTATTTTCCTAAATCACCCGTAAGAACAAAGTCCTACCGGTAAAACTCTATTTCTTTTATTTTTATAAATGTTATTAGGGCTGTTCATGGGTTGAGTTGGTACCAGGTAGGACTTTTTCTTCCCCCGCCCTAAAAAGTGAGGGTTGCACTTATTTGACCCCAACAATGTTAGAAAAATTTCACAACCCAATAATGTTTGGTTTGGTTGGGCGGTGCAGGGTGGGTTGGGGGTCAGTTTCAACATTCAAAGAATCAAAGACTCAAAGTTCAATCTAACATCAAACATGAAGCAAAGTAGCCCATCCAACATCAAACATAAAGCAAACATAAATTAGTCTACACTCATAAATTAGTCTTAACGTAAAGGAAACATAGAGGCTTAATTCAAACATAAAAAAACTAGAGAGTATAAATGAGTTGCATGTCTAGGGTTAGATATTAGAGAATGCAAGTTAGATCGCGGGTTGGATTGGGGTGTGCGGGTCATTATAGGCCCAACCCACTCCAAAACTTCAAGCCAGACATTGAATGGGCCGCAAAAAAAAAAAAAAAAAACTAGAAATTGCATTTTTCGAGTTGGGTTGGGGTGGGGTGGGTTGGGCTTATGGGTTTTACGGGTTTATGAACAGTCCTAAATGTTACTGCAAAATGCCTAGAAAAGAGAGAAAGAGAAAGGAAAAGTGAAGGAAAAAGAGAGAGAAAAAGAGAAAAGGCTTTGATGATTCTAGCTTTTTGATGGGTAAAATAGTTATTAATGTTGAAATAATATTTCACACACAACATAATTTCACATATCCTATAATTTAATTAGTATAGGAGTTTATTATTTTTAGTTTGACCCATTCAAGATTATAAGAATAACCTCTTAATTACAATCCTTTGGTACAAGGAAAAACCTTTTGATTCCAATTAA